GTTTTCGGGGTTTTTTGAGCTATGGTCTCAAACTTTTGATCAGATGAAAAAAATCATGTTTGAGTGTAAATGCAGTTTTCAATTAATTCCTCGCGCAAAGGTTCTTGTCTCTTGCACTGATTTCTTCTTTTAACATTGTGAAGCTCTACTTAGAACCTTCTTAAGATCCAATAGTGCAAAATGCAAATTCTTGCACTTTTTTGACTGGTCTTAAGATTTTGATCAGGAGTGTATGTAAATGATGTTTTTTGACGAATAAAGTTGGAAGAGAAAAAAAGCTTTACTTCTCAGTTTGTTGCAAAATGATTTTAACTTTTTCAAATTAAACCAAGTTTCTTCCCCCATCTCTGCCATGTAAAGAAATGGTTAAAACATCTCAGAAGTCCAAGACTTACTACTTTTTAACTCGCGATATCTCAGCCATTAATTCAAGTACACGCTTGAACATTTATTTCAGGAAAGGACAAAGTCTTCTGACGCTCACGGTCCAAAAAATGGTTTCAAAGCCCTTATATTTTTTGCACAGCAGCTGTTTGAAAGGACCCATCTTTTCTGTGTTTTCAGACAGAGGAGCTGCATTTGCATTTGTGACATCATCAGTGACATCATGCATACGTCACAAGGCAGACAGCCCCATTCAAAGTCAATGTGAAAAAAACTGCTAAAAAATTGAAATTGCTAAAAAAGTATAGCTGGCAATCCTCTCATAGTTTCTCCAGGAACTATTCTATTTATTTATTGTTATTTAACCAGACAAGCCCCCATTGAGATCCCACATCTTGTTTTTTTCACCCCCAAAGAAGGCAGCCTATTGTACATGTTTTTTTGGGGGTGGGGTAAACCGGAGTACCCGGAGAAAACCCAAAGAAGCATGAAGAGAACATGCAAACTCCTCATCAGGCGGTGATCACATGTAGGCCACAGATTTCCCTGCTGTAGTTGTTTGATGTGTTTTTAGTTGGAGTTTGGGAGAGGTGTGTGCAGGTGATAGGTATTTATTTATTGTTATTGAACCAGACAAGTCCCCATTGAGATCCCACATCTTTTTTTTTCACCCCCAAAGAAGGCAGCCTATTGGACATGTTTTTTTGGGGGTGGGGTAAACCGGAGTACCCGGAGAAAACCCAAAGAAGCATGAGGAGAACGTGCAAACTCCGAAGCAGGGAAAGAACGACTCCCCTAACCACTCTGCCCAGAGTGACCCAACGTCTTTTAAGACAGGATGTGATGAAGGTTGAAAATCCTGGCAAAAACCTTTCTGAGTCTTCTGAAAGGTTTCTTGTGTTTGAACTCTTTCTCAGGTGGCTCCACAGTTGGACCAGGATGTGAGGGGTTTGTGTTTTGTTGCTCCACTGGTAAATCGTCTGGGATTGTTGGTTGTGACTCAGTTTGTGATTCTTCTTTTATATTTGAGTCGATGTCATTTTCAAGGTTTATTGACTCAAAGTTTGGAGCTTCTGCTTCTGGGTTGCTGCTGGCAGGTGAGGGCTTTGTGTTTTGTTGCTCCACTGGTGAGTTTTCTGTAAAACTTGGTGGGGACAGCGACATAATTTGAAATGCTTCTTTTATATATGAGTCGTCGTCATCGACAGGAAGATGCTTCATTGTGATGAAGTCATGATTCAAAGCATCTGCAGGTGTGATCCGGTCTCCAGGGTTCACAGCTAGCATTCGTTTCAGCAAGTCTATGAATTCTTTCAAATCCTGCATCTCATGAGGATTGCTGATACATGGTTTCATTTCAAGCAAGTCATCCAGAGATTTTAACTCGCTGTTTGTTTCTTTTACAACCGTCTTAGCAAACCTTCGTTTGTGTTTTCTCACTGGCTTAAATTTCCAGGTCATTTCAGAGTCGGTCTCGTGAAGTGTAAAGTACTGTGTGGCTCTGCAGGCTCTGTCAAGTACATATTTGTCTGGCTGACCGAGGAGATGAACAATTGATCTTAAAATCTCATGTTCAGTTTCACCTGAAAACATCATCTGCCCAAGATAAAGCTCCCCTAAACAGGCAGCAAGTCCCCACATGTCCACAGCTTCATCAGGTAAAAACCCCAGGAAGACTTCAGGGGCTCTGTAACCTGCAGCCTGTAATATAACTGATTCATTTAAATATGATGTGAAACGAGTCAGCCCAAAATCAATTAACTTCACTTTGAAGGGCGCAGACGTGTGATCAACTAACATTAAGTTGTCAAGTTTAATGTCAGTGTGAGCCATTTTAATTTCTCCTAATGCAGTGAGAGAAACGAGTATTTGTTTTGCGATAGCTCTGATCTCAGWCACTTTCAGAGGAGCCCAGTGTCTTTCTGCCATGAAGTCATCTAAGCTACGATCCAGCAGCTCAAACGTAAAGCAGAAATGGCCTTTATATTTGAACCAGTCAAAGCAAGTCATGATGTTGAACTGGTCAGGATCAAACCTCCTGAGTTGTAAAATGGCTTCTTTTTCTGTCTCAGCTGAATCCACATCTTCTTTTGACATAAGCTTCAGAGCAACACGCTGCTCCGTCTCATTTAGGCGACACTGAGCTACTAATCCATAAGCACCTTCTCCCAGAGGTTTTTCTACATGGTAGACATCAGRTTTATTGCAGATGGTGAAACCCTCCCGTATTTCACTCATAAGATTACTTGACTTAGACTCGGGGGATTCTATCAAGTCCTTGTCACCTTCAGGGTTGTTTTTGACAGGTGGCTCCATGAATTTTAAAACAGTTTCCAGCTCGTTGTTGGGAGACGATCCATTTTCTTTGCCAGCAGTTTTCAAATCAAAGCTATCTTCTTGGTCCCTAAAGCCAGCCCCTGGACCGAACGCCCCTCGTTCAACTTTTGGGTCACTCTCAATCATGATGTTTTCCTGATCAGGTTTAAACATTTTGAATTTTAAAATAGCTTCGGTGTTGGCAGAATTTTCTTTTCCCTTTATGAGAGAAGTCACTGAAATTATTTTCGGATATCTTGAGGAAAAATGAACATATATATACAGTGGTTTGCAAAAGTATTCATACCCCTT